AGATCAGTGAACATTCTACTCTGGGTGTTTTAGCATTTAGTTCCTTTTATAAACCCCACTCAACTATTTGCAAAGAGAGCAATTAAATAGCACAGATATATGCCTAAATGCAGGAGCTGTCAGGTAAATTGGACCAACAGTGATGAATCAAATGATTCTTCCAACGCACTGCAAGAGACTTAAATTTAGAGGATTTTTTGCAGATTGACATTAGGAGTAGAACTGGTCATATCATTTTCAATTAAAACTATTTTTGCCCATATATGGTGTTTCATAAGCTGAAAACATTTCAGAGATGTAATAATTTCAATTAAGTTTTGGACAGAGAAGATTTCTGAGGTCAAGGAATCTTTGATCATTTCTGGCAGACACTTATCCCCACCCACACACACCATATCTAACGTATACTGCTTTGGGAAAAGACTGACAAGATCCCGTTTAGCAAAATCATGTTAAAGGCTTTGTTTTTGTTCCAATGCTAAACTAATTTCTAAACCTCAACATGAAAGGGAATGATCATCCTTCAGATAGTTCTAATTAAGAACAAGTCATTAGAAAAGCTGGCTTCTTGATGAGACTCCAGCACTGTCTACAAAAAGTCTCTACTTTTCACAAAAACTATTTAGAAAGAAGCCAAACTAAAAAGGCCCTTTTTGGACATTTTTAGTTTTGTGGGGAGATTTTTGTTTGCAGTTTTGTTTTGACTAGGCTACAGAAGCCAGCTGGGTCTCTAGACCTGTGGTTCTCAAACTTGTTTCTACCAGGACCCATTAGTAAACATTAATGGCCAGTCCTGACCCAGTAAATAGTTTAAGTAGAAAACAACCCCCTGGCCCTGCCAGTGCCCTTCAGTCCCAACCCGCTGCCTCCTGCCCCTAAGCCCCAACCCCCCCAGTGTGTGGGGCAGGGGGTGAGTGTATGGAGAAGGGGGGAGGTGTCTGGGACATGGGGGGGCCCCAAACATATCTCTTGCAGGATGGAGCTGTGCCAGCCTGCAAGGGAAATGCTAGTTTCCCACATTTTTGTCCTTTAAAGGAGAACCCATTTTTAAAGTTTGTTGATCCATATTTAAAGTTTGTTCATGGCCCTTTCATATATTCTTGGAACCCACTTTTGGGTCACAACCCACGGGTTAAGAAACACTGCTCTAAACTATGATTATAGGCCACAATTAATTGAGTGCTGTACTCTCGACTTGTCACACAGGTTTGTATCAGGTCTGCACACACTTCCTGTCTGAGACAAGACTGCAAAGATTTCATGGATGTTATATACTCTTCACATTATGTTTCCCAGAATAAAGACTTCAAATTTTCAGTTTTTGAATCAGAGTAGTTATTGTTCATTTGGAGAAGCCATTTTATAAGCATGTTAGTAGTTAATGCTATATTTACTTCATTCTAAGATGGGTTTTTTCTCCCATTTAACCTTAGAGGGAAAACCCCTTATCTTGAAATCAAGTACAAGATGGTGGAGAGGCAGGCTGCTGCTGCCTGCCCCCTGCCACCTCTGCACCTCTTGTCTCTCCCCTCCACCCACAATTCCCCTCATCTCATAACAAATTTATAAATTTTCTTTGTATAGAATCGAATTATTCGGGGGAAGAAGTCATCTTAAATTCAGGATTGTCTTGGATATGGATACATATGATATATTTTTCCAATGGGTTTTCTTAGACCCTCTCCAAAAGTATCTAGAATCCCCCATTGTATTTTCTACTCTGAAGCTGTCCTTATTGCATTGATTGTCTCTGAGGCAGAGAAGCTAAATGACACTTCCTTCCGAAGTCCAGCCAGAATGAGGTAAGACACTTTCTTCTTTAAGGGCAAAAGTTGCTGAATCTGCACCTCTCCCAGCCCATGTGTAAATGTACACAGCTGAGTTTTCATTTTGGATCTTCTGTACAGTAACTTATTGCATAATGTTTTTAACTACGACATAAGAGTACAAAGCAAGGCAGATCTGGTTTTAAAATTCTCTCTGTTTTTCTAGTTTTTTCAATAACTTTCCTTCACCTTGCTCAAAGGCCTTTTAGAACCATCATCTGTTTTAAATGTGTGCATTTACATGAAATTTTTACTATGGAGCTGACTAGTTAGCTCCGCAGTAAATGTCTCAGTGTCTGCACATGCACCCCTTATTAGGGTGCACAAAACTAATTAACTCCACAGCAGGGTCATACTTGCAGATACATGTATGACCCTGCTGCTGAGGTATTTTGGGCGGGGGTTATGCGCAGCAGTGCATGTGTAGACACTAACCCGGATGGCTGGGGCACAAGGGCGCTTCAGTGCAGAATAACTATTCTCTCAATAGTTATTGGAGAATTGGAGTTATTGGAGGATATAACTATTCTCCAACCATTTGGGTTGGTCTAATAAAAGATATCAAAATTCACCCAAGGAACCTTGTCTACTAGAATAATTGACTTTTACAACATTGAAAAAAAGGAGCAGGCAGTAGGCCTGTGCTAGTCAGCAGCGATCTGATCCAGCTTCAGATGGCCGCAATCCGATCTGAAGCTCCGGACCGGGTTTCTGCCTTGATCTGGCCAAAGCGGCTCCGAAGCCTGGGAGCCGCCTCGGACATCGGCCATAGGGCATAATGGGGAATTAATGAAATATCTATAACTTTGTTGGTTTTTGTCTGATTTGGATGAAATCTTCAGGGTGGTAGACTCTGCAGAGAGCATGAAGCATGCCAAGTTTCAAGAAGATAGGTGCAGGGGTTTGGGGGGAATGGCACCCCAAATTCTTGAAAGCAAAATTCCTGTCACGTCTATGTGTTACAACATAGGGTGGTGAAAACTGCAGGGGTGCTGGCCTATATGGAGGCCACAAAGCCTGCCAAGTTTCAAGAAGATCGGTGCAGGGGTTTTGGGGCAACTGTACCCCAAATTCTTAAAAGCAAAACTCCTGTCATCTCTATGTGTTACAACACAGGGGGGTCAAAACTGCAGGGCTGGTAGCTCTTACTGAGGCCACAAAGCCTGCCAAGTTTCAAGAAGATTGGTGCAGGGGTTTGGGGGAACTGCACCTCAAGCTTCAGACAAGCAAAACTCATGCCATGGGTGACACTGTGTGTTAAGGCGCAGCGGGCTGACAGCTGCAGGGATGGTGGCCCCTGCTGCAGCCACGACACCTGCCAGCTGTCGAGGAGATGGGTGCAGGGGGGGTCTGGGGCCCTAATTTATGGCAATTAACTGGCTACATTAGCTAGGCCCTGTGTATTGAGCTGGCCCCTGAGTGAATCATGATTGATTGGTAACTGGTAACACAGTAGCTGAGCAGCCAGGCCTGCAGTAATGTCTCCCATGCCCCAAGACACAGTCAGTCCCACAAGCACCCATGGCACGAGTTTTGCTTGTCCACAGCATTTTGGGGCAGTTTCCCCCAAACCCCTGCACTGATCTTCTTGAAACTTGGCAGGCTTTGTGGCCTCAGTAAGAGCTACTGCCTCTGCAGTTTTCATGCCACTATGTTGGAATGCCTAGATGTGACAGGAGTTTTGCTTTCATGAATTTGGGGTGCCATTCCCCCCCAAACCCCTACACCAATACTCTTGAAACTTGGCAGGCTTCATGCTCTCTGCAGAGTCTACCACCCCTGAAAATTTCATCCAAATCAGACAAAAAACAATCAAGTTATAGGTATTTTATTGTTTCCCCATTATACCCTATGGCCGGATCTCCAAGGCGGCTCCAAAGCTCTTCGGGAGCTCCGAACCACTTCGGGAAGCCGAACGAGAAGCTGAACGAGGCCAGCGCTTCCACCCGGATATGCTGCTTCAGACCCTGAAGCGTCCAAAGCGTCTCCGGATCCAAAGCTCTGTCCAAAGCCTCTCACAGCCCTAGTGGCCAGAGAATGTAAATTCCTACAACGGGGTAATTTTGTCCAATCTTGTATAGAGTTACCACTGAGTGGGATAAAACCAGTGTAAGTTACACTGAAATAGGTGTAAGCTTTCTGCAGCTTATTCCAGAGTAGCCATTTGCTCAGGTCAAAGTGAATATTATCACAGCCACTCAGTGGTTATTGTAATACCTGCCTATCCTCCCTGGGATAGATGCACATCTGTCTGCTCCGTAGCCTAATGTAGTTTACTTCAGTGTGCAAAATATTGGTACATTACACTAGTGTAGAGGTGTCTTCTGCTCAGGCCCTATGCCTTAGACAACCTAACTAGCCAAATAAATGTTTATGAGGATCCATCTATTGTATATACAGTCTTATAGGATGCTTTCATTTGGTCTGAGAACCTGTGTATCTAATATAAATCCAATGTGGATTACAGATAGACAATGGTGATATGTGTATAAGTACCACCTCAGAAGAGAGGAGGAGGAAAATGCAAACATTGAGTTAGTAGGTTATTTCCAGCTGTTTGTAACTTGCTAAAAGAACATCTCTCTAGGGACTGAAATGTTCTCTCTCTGGTCCCAGTTGAAAGATAAACTGTTATGGAAAGTTTGAGCTAAATCGGTTAGGAAATAAATATGCCATACCTAAGAACACAGAAATCAGGAAATCCTATTGTTAAGGTTTCTAAAATTACATGAATCTAGTCATGTTTATGCACACACACTTGATTTTTCTGGTTAAATGTATGCCTTGCTATCTTATATTCATTTATGTTAAAATATATACTATGAAATGTGTGGTGTTCCAAAGAGCAAAGTCAGATTTGCTGGTGGAATCTCACTTTTGAATCTCCTTTTTTATGCGCTCAATTTTTCAGGCCTTTACAATGGATCTTAAGTGCACACAGAGAATTTCTAGAACTGGGCTATCCAAACAGTGGTCCAAAGGCTGTATGCACCCCCTGAATGGTTACCTATGGTCCCTGGGCTCCTGGTCTGGGTGCCACTCCTCCCATCTCTTTCCTGCTGCTGCTACTGTAATCTCCAGTCTAGCTTTGCTTCCTGCTCCCCACCTCTGGGAGTGGAGTAGGGCAGCCTGCAGGGCTGAGGGAGCTGATAGCAGGTGGACTTGGGTCACCCAGGGACACTGTACAGTGCAGGGCCACTGCTGCATTGCAAGGGAGGAGAGTGTAGTGTAGCAGTGCTGGCATAGTACAGCAGGGGATGCCTCCCGCACAGCATGGCCCACGCAATATGCAGCTCAAGGGAGAATGCAACTTGCAGCTGGGGGTATATAGGCCACGGCTACTCAGTATTCCCTCGGTGTTTCAGAGCAGGGATGTCCAACTTCTATCTGCTGTCTGTGCAGGTGAGATTTGCTAACATTTTATTTGTATAGCCCCAACGTTTCCTATAGATTAGGTCAATTTGCAATCTACTTTTTTGGGGTGCTAGGACTTGTGCATATTTAAATAAAAATTCAAAATGATTTTCCACATTTAGTTCTGAGGAGAGTCTTACCCCAGTTGATTTGTTGTTTGTTGAAGATTTATCCCTGGCCAAATGAACTAACGATAACAAGCACCTCTCTGGGGCCTCTTGCTTGTCAACTGCAGCTTCTTCATCACTGTCCATACTGCGACTTAAAAGTCGTTCGTTCTCAGAAGAGGCATCATTTTCACTGAAAAATGAAGGGTAAGGGTATCTTACCGAAGCCTTTGATAATCTGATTCCAAATGTATCTTTTCTCCTGTCTTCTAGAAATGGAATATGTGTTTTCATCCTTTTTAAAAGTCTACCTTAAGGGACCATTAAGATTAAATCCTACTATTGAGGATGTAGGCAAATGCTCTAAATTACAGTCATGCATACCCATTGTAAGGGGAAGACTGAGCCATTTTACAAAGCTTGGTTTCTTACGATTTTCACCTAGGACAAAATTCTGGCTCTTTCTGCCTCTCTCTGTATTTGAGAGAGGTCTTTGCAGTCAAGGAAGAAGGTTGCTGTGAGATTGAGCCACCTATGTACTGATCTCTGAAGTTGGGGATAAGATGCATTCTTGAGTTCTGCAGCAGGGGATGCACTCTCTCATGGTAGCTGATAAATAGCAGGGCAAACTTATTGGGTATCTGAAAATTATAGACCTGGAGCAGGCTTAAATTTCCAAAATGGAGCTGTCAGGAGAGAAGACAGAGCCCTATAGAGCTTATGAACTGTACATTAGAGCACTTGAGAAAAAGAGTAAGACACAGCGCTCCTTCCAATAACATTTCCCACCCAGTTAGTCTGAAAACAGACATCACCTTTGTGCTGCCATAAAAAAAAAATGATCTCCATTTGCAGAGACATGCCCCAAGTTGGTTCCTTCATTTGTAGTTTTCCCATAAGACTGGGCCCCTAAAGCCCATGAGCAGCATGGACCTGACCCTGTAGGACAGCTGGCAATGTCTTTATCACCCATTGAAGCAGATCAGCTGTGCCAGGACACATCCCAGCTCTGCTAATGCCACAACAAAAATTACAACTGTTTTTAGCTTTAGTATACTTTCAAATCTAAGTCCTCTCCTTCAAAGGTCCAAGGAATGGGGTTTCCAGTTCTCCCTGGTTTCTCTCACTGCTAGAAGTTATTAAGTCCATATTTTCTTTTGATAAATGCATTAATTTATTTTTCATTATATATCCTTCTACATATTAAATATAGGTATCCATTTCCCTCTAGTGTCCTATAATGGTTATTATGCTCTTTTTTTACTTTAACCAAGCTAAAAGCATGTTTATGCCTTTTTTTTTCTTACATACCTCTTAACAGTCTTAGCTGGAGTTGCGGTCAATTTTTCAAACTCCTCTTTCTCTGCAAATATCACTACATTTTCTGCAGATCAAAAAAATAAATAAGTTTACATTGGCAGAGACCGCAAGTGATATTTTTGCCTCACCAGCTTCTCTAGCTGGTAGTTTTACTACAAACATAAATCTCTCTGTATGCTACTAACATTTTACTTGCTATTGAGAGGATTAAGTGAAATTTTGGTAGTATGGAAATCTTTTTGCATACTTCTCTACTAAGTGAAAATGGAGTTCAAGCAGTTAAAAATGGGAAATTGCATGAGATGATGGATTGAGGGAATTTAAGCCTTATTTTGTCTGCTGTAGAAAAAAGAAACACTATAAAACAACTCAGACCTTGTACTTCTTTCTTCTCTTCTTGCATATTGGCTTGAGCTTCAACCGTTTTTACTGAATGACTGGTGCAACAGGCTAAAATAGAAAGAATTCAACTTATTAATGGTCATTCTTAGCAACTGTCTGGAAGTAACATTTTGCAATTTCACTTTTTATGCTGTGCAGTTACCTTGAGCAGAAGGTTTAGTTTTCACAATGTAAAACATGATGATCAAGACAATGGCAATAGCCATTATGAATATAGTAGACATGGCAATGATAAGAGCAGTAGCCAGATGACCTTGTCCTGAAAGATCTGCTGGAGACACAAAGAAATAGGTTTTTAATAAAGGAGGCCTATTGAAGACAAAGAATACTTACCAGTTTGAGGCCTGCACTGAATTTAAATCCTGCACAATGTATCTGCTTTGGAGATGATAAAATACTATAGAATATCCCTTGCACCTGATATGCCAGTCACTATACAGTTTTACAAATCTATGGAATTTGATCTCCAATAAGCAATTAACAGTGCTTCTGAAAATATTAGATCACATGTTTATGCAAAGATGAAGGAAGTTACATTATCCTCTCTGGGGTATTTTCCTGAAATACACTGTACACGTAATGTTTTCAATAAGAAGACATTTATTTGTTGCTACCAAATTTTGACATCTTTCCATATTTGAACCTTTAAGTGGTTACATAAAACTATTTTGTTGAATTTTATTGATATAGTTCTTGGTGTAAATAGGAAATGTAGGCAAATAATGTGGTCATGATGTTACTCTGTATAGTTTTTTTCTAAGCCAGAATGGAGCTGTTGCTATAAAATTTAATTTATCTTTGTTTCTAACAGGATGTTAATAACAATTGAAAGAATGGTCCTTGTTGCATGGTAATTTTGGGCAGCTCCTAGAGGACTTAGCCCCTGGACTCTCTGTACATTAACACCTTAAAGTTGTTTAAAGCACTCATTATACGGCTCAAAGTTATGCCACTCCAGGGCAGGATTATCTCTTGATCTGCACAACCCAGCTCCTTAAGATGTAGCCACTCCCCACAGATGTGCCACTGAGGTTGAAGGTGTGACTGCTCCAAACTCTAAGCTACCACTAATTTGATCAACATTTGTATGGCTCACAGTTTAAGGTGAAACAGGTCCCCATAACAGGTTTGTAGGCCAGATTCTGTTGAGGAATACACACATGCAGTTGTCTTTGGTGGGATGTATGTCTGTGCATGTCTAAGGATTTGCTTTGTCTGTGGAGAGAATATGGTGTTTCCCCATATTATAACTTACGGGTTTGTAGTTCCTTGTGTGTAATTGCAAACAGCTGCTAGCTTTCAACTCTGAGTGAAAGTTGAACATTCATCTTAATTGTTAAGTCATTTATACTTACATTCATCTTAATTGTTTCATTTATACAATACAAAATAGCTCAGTGAAACAAGATGTGTGTAATGTTTTCCATGGAGCTAGACCAACATGCCAAGTGGGCAATCAGTTGGTAATGTTTCATTAGTGTGCATGTTTAAAATTCCTTTGTTGGAAGACTTTTATAAAGTACAGATGAAAAATTTAAATACATTTGGTGCAATTTGCTTTGGTTTATATGAATAATAAAACTCATGTTATGCCATTTGTACAAACACTTCTCAGTTAAATAAGAGTTAAAACTTTGAAATAAAACTTTGATAAAAATATGATGGGAGCCAAAAAGAGAATCTTAAAATAAATAATTCAGTCATCAGAACAGGAGCGGCTCCTGTCTATACAATGAACCTGGGAATGCCTACAAGGAAGGAATTGATTGAAAAAGTTTTTCTTGCTAAATGATTTTTTCCTCATCATCAGAGCAATATCCTGAAGGAAGTAAAAATACGCTTTTGTTATGAAGTCTAAATATACAGCTACTGACAATATAGTGTCCTGGCTACCAACCTCTTTCTACTAGTAGAAAGCCTCAGTAAATATTATCATTATGAAATGTAAGTCTAGAAGCTTCATTCAACAACTTATCTAATTCCAACCAGCAGTATTTTGGATTGATGTGGATCTATAAATCTATAAAATGATGTGACATCCATAACTGGATATCTTGTCAGCAGCAAGATGACTGCCTAGAAGCATGAGGCAGGTCTGAAAGGTGTGCATGACAATGAAAAGCTGTCCTCACAGATCCCTAGGGCACACCACAGCAAGATAGCAGTGCTGTCTGAACTGAAACATAGTAACTGTGTTTGTCTTCCCTCTTCCATAGGAATCAAGAGAAGCTAACAAACTAACAACAGACCAGCAGGCATGTCAGAAAAATCCTATGGTCAATGCTATTGGCATCTGAAAAGGGAAACAAAACTTCAAGTGCTAAAGCAATTTGGCAGAATTGAATAATGCATAATTCACCAGAGCACTCCACCGTCTGGTGTGCTTTACAGTCTCACTGGAATTTTCATACAAGTCAAACTGATATTTCTATATGAATATAGATGTCTCTCTGGAATACTTGGATTAATTTAATTCTGTTTATTAATACTTAATTATACATCTTGTCAGCTACTTTACAAGCTTTGTTTGTTAAAGAGATTGTCTAACATTAGATATAAGCAAGAGAGTTGGGGGGGTTTTCTTGAACATTCAGTTCCATAATAAAAAGTAAATGCTTCCTCTGAAGCTGACTGGATTGACACATAAGCCACACATCCTGGCACTCAGGCCAAGCTATCATCCTATCTGTGATACTGGAAAGCAGATGGAAAAGCCCAGGAAAGAAGCTATAGTAGATAATTTGGAAGCTGACAATATCTGATCTGCCCCTCAGTGTTTGGAGCTCATTCATTAAATAAATGCATACTTTCAAGGGTAGCCAAATAATTGTTTATTGATAATATGTGCTTTGAAAAGCTGTAACCTTGAAAAGCAAGGTTTTGTGTGTAACTTCCCTATAACACTGACACCAGAGAAACAAGTTGCCTTTACGTGAGGAAGAATAATTGAATATTTTAACCTGCACTTCCTGTACTTCAGAAGACTTGGCTAATCATGTTGATGTCATTTTTCTCCAAGGTGTTTTCAAGACCTCCGAAGAGATGTAACAAAGGGAGAAGACCAAGAAATTCTGCAAAGAACTGTTACAGTTGCTTTTCCAACAGAGACTTCATATGTAGTGTTGACAGAAGATGAATTTAAAATAAGATATGTAAGATCAAAGACAGAAATTAGATGCACTAAACAAAGAACTAAAAGCCGTAACAGAGTTTTAGAAAATGTTAAATATTTTACAGTTGAGAAGCTGAATTAAAAATGATATAAAATTTTCTGAAAATGCAGTCTTCAGCATCATGCATACAGAGAAAACAAAAAAAATCATCTGTGCTAATTCTTTTTATGCTGCACTGCAGTGCCCTTATTTTCATGTATTCTGACAAAGCAAGAACCCTCTCTCACAGCTTTTTGTTTTAGCACCAAAAGAGACCAGCCACATTGTTGCGTTAAATTATTTTTAGGTGCCTGGCCAGTCTCTGCTGAGGCACAATGCTATTTCTCTTTTTTTAGAAACAGGGAGCTAACTTAATTACTACCATAAATGAGTACAAGTTAGTTCAAATCCACTTTAAGTCCATCTGCACTAAATGGATATTACTGATTACTCAAGGAACAAAAAGTCGTTATAATTTTTTTTTTAGTGATTCTTCAAAGCGAGGAATATAATGAAAATCAATATTACAACAGGTGTTTTCAATTCAGCACGGATGTCACTTGATGCCATATTGTGAAGAAATATCTGCTGAATTAAGTGTGCTGGTGCTTTTTCTTACCTTTGTGTGCATGCTGGAAAGGTGAGAAAGTGCTTGTGCCAGACGTACTTGGGAAAATGGGTGAAAGGCCTGAGGTAGCACCTGCACCTGCAATATTAAAAACATTAATTTGTACTAAGACCAACAACTTAAGAAATTTTCGGGTTAGATTTGCTTGATCTGTTCTCCCAATGCAAACATGCCCTGGTACTGGAACTTTTCTAAGGGTTTATCAGTAATACTAGCTACTCATATGCCCGGCTCCATCACAGAGTCTACAACCAATCCATCCAGTCCCCAGAGTTAGAAGTTGAGCTGGGAAGTTCATCAGATCATTGTTGCTTCCAAGCAATTTCTATCAATGAGATTTCTGTGAAGCTCTGTTTTGTTTTTAAATGAGCATTATCCTAAGGGAGCCTTTAGAGAAGATGGGAGGGAAAAGTACTGTAGGATATCTTTCCTCTTGGTGAATCCCATCTTCCATGAAGCTGCCCCTATGGGATATGACTGTTTTTTGCAGGTGGCAGGATAAGTTTCATATGATTCCTCCTGCTAGCTAAATTGATCTTCCAGAAGAAAATATGAGCCACAACAACAGGGAGACAGAGCTGGTAGGGAGCAATGCGCATTGACAAGACACTTGGATACGATGACTTCCTGGTCTTTTTTCCCACCTCATTTCTTTGGCTAATTTATAAATTGACTCTGTTTAATCAATGTATATACTGTATTTTCAGAGCTGGAGAATCAGGGGAGAAATTGTCTCCTTTTGCCCTAGGCAACTACAGAAAATCAGC